ACACTGTCAGCTGGGGGGACAACTGTCACCACACTGTCAGCTGGGGGGACAACTGTCACCACACTGTCAGCTGGGGACAACTGTCACCACACTGTCAGCTGGGGGGACAACTGTCACCACACTGTCAGCTGGGGGGACAACTGTCACCACACTGTCAGCTGGGGACAACTATCACCACACTGTCAGCTGGGGGGACAACTGTCACCACACTGTCAGCTGGGGACAACTGTCACCACACTGTCAGCTGGGGGACAACTGTCACCACACTGTCAGCTGGGGGGACAACTGTCACCACACTGTCAGTTGGGGGACAACTATCACCACACTGTCAGCTGGGGGGACAACTGTCACCACACTGTCAGCTGGGGACAACTATCACCACACTGTCAGCTGGGGACAACTATCACCACACTGTCAGCTGGGGGGACAACTGTCACCACACTGTCAGCTGGGGACAACTATACAATCAGAGGTTATCAACATACACTCCTTCACTGTTGATGCCTCAGTCATTAACAGACTGCTACAACATGTACAAGTCCAACAGTTGTATATATTGCCCACATGAACTGGACTGTTCCCATTACAAGTGGTGATGGACTGGTAGCTGCTACTGTGAGTGCCAGTCACCTTCCAGCACGTCTCAGCCCTGTAAGAGTCACCTTCCAGCACGTCTCAACCCTGTAAGAGTCACCTTCCAGCACGTCTCAACCCTGTAAGAGTCACCTTCCAGCACGTCTCAACCCTGTAAGAGTCACCTTCCAGCACGTCTCAACCCTGTAAGAGTCACCCTCCAGCACGTCTCAACCCTGTAAGAGTCACCCTCCAGCACGTCTCAACCCTGTAAGAGTCACCTTCCAGCACGTCTCAGCACTGTAAGAGTCACCTTCCAGCACGTCTCAGCACTGTAAGAGTCACCTTCCAGCACGTCTCAGCACTGTAAGAGTCACCTTCCAGCACGTCTCAGCACTGTAAGAGTCACCTTCCAGCACGTCTCAGCACTGTAAGAGTCACCTTCCAGCACGTCTCAGCCCTGTAAGAGTCACCTTCCAGCACGTCTCAACCGTGTAAGAGTCACCTTCCAGCACGTCTCAACCGTGTAAGAGTCACCTTCCAGCACGTCTCAACCCTGTAAGAGTCACCTTCCAGCACGTCTCAACCGTGTAAGAGTCACCTTCCAGCACGTCTCAACCCTGTAAGAGTCACCTTCCAGCACGTCTCAACCCTGTAAGAGTCACCTTCCAGCACGTCTCAGCCGTGTAAGAGGAACAACTTACTTGTGCCGGCAGGAAGTGTTCCTGTCCCGCCATGTGTTCCTCTCCAGCTACAGCGGCTTAATAACAATATTAAGGTTAACACAAAATTTTACTCAGTTAATCTTATTGTAAACTTTTTCAGTTTGATAAACTGTCTCTCCCGCACCACAATGTTGGTGTCATAACAGTTGTGTTACTCACGCTGGAACACCTTACACCCGCCCACCACACCACCAAACTACCACCTTCCTACAACGTTCGAACAAGTTTTAACACGTAACAAGTTGTAACAACCAATATAACAAGTTGTAACAACGTTGTAACACGTCATACCAAGGTAATAACAAGTAGTAACATGGGGGATCATGGGGACCGTTACGTTGTGTGTGCTGGTAATTACACTTAAATATTTTAAGGGTTATTAAAATAATATTTAGTTATATTAGAGATTATAAAATATGAGAATATATTTTGAGATTAATTTCTCAAAATATAACTCTTGCAAACACTGACCTTCCATGACTCATATGATGTTGTGAATAGTGATTAGTGGTGGTATGGTGCCCAACCACTTGGACTGGCTACCCTCCAAGTAGTCGCCGCCTCCCAGTACTCAGGCTACACACCCAGTAGTCCTCACCTCCCAGTACTCAGGCTACCCACCCAGTAGTCTTCGCCTCCCATTACTCAGGCTACCCACCCAGTAGTCCTCACCTCCCAGTACTCAGGCTACCCACCCAGTAGTCCTCACCTGCCAGTACTCAGGCTACCCACCCAGTAGTCCTCACCTGCCAGTACTCAGGCTACCCACATAGTAGTCCCCACCTCCCAGTACTCAGGCTACCCACCCAGTAGTCCTCACCTTCCAGTACTCAGGCTACCACCCAGTAGTCCCCACCTCCCAGTAGTCCCCACCTCCCAGTACTCAGGCTACTCACCCAGTAGTCCTCACCTCCTAGTACTCAGGCTACTCACCCAGTAGTCCTCACCTTCCAGTACTCAGGCTACCTACCCAGTAGTCCTCACCTGCCAGTACTCAGGCTACCCAGCCAGTAGTCCTCACCTGCCAGTACTAAGGCTTCCCACCCAGTAGTCCTCACCTGCCAGTACTCAGGCTACCCACCCAGTAGTCCTTAGTACCTGTAGTCCTCACCTGCCAGTACTCAGGCTACCCACCCAGTAGTCCTCACCTGCCAGTACTCAGGCTACCCACCAAGTAGTCCTCACCTGCCAGTACTCAGGCTACCCACCCAGTAGTCCTCACCTGCCAGTACTCGGGCTACTCACCCAGTAGTCCTCACCTGCCAGTACTCAGGCTACCCAGCCAGTAGTCCTCACCTGCCAGTACTAAGGCTACCCACCCAGTAGTCCTCACCTGCCAGTACTCAGGGTACCCACCCAGTAGTCCTCACCTGCCAGTACTCAGGGTACCCACCCAGTAGTCCTCACCTGCCAGTACTCAGGCTACCCACCCAGTAGTCCTCACCTGCCAGTACTCAGGCTACCCACCCAGTAGTCCCCACCTGCCAGTACTCAGGGTACCCACCCAGTAGTCCTCACCTGCCAGTACTCAGGCTACCCACCCAGTAGTCCTCACCTGCCAGTACTCGGGCTACCCACCCAGTAGTCCTCACCTGCCAGTACTCGGGCTACCCACCCAGTAGTCCTCACCTGCCAGTACTCAGGCTACCCACCCAGTAGTCCCCACCTGCCAGTACTCAGGCTACCCACCCAGTAGTCCCCACCTGCCAGTACTCAGGCTACCCACCCAGTAGTCCTCACCTGCCAGTACTCAGGCTACCCACCCAGTAGTCCTCACCTGCCAGTACTCAGGCTACCCACCCAGTAGTCCCCACCTGCCAGTACTCAGGCTACCCACCCAGTAGTCCTCACCTGCCAGTACTCGGGCTACCCACCCAGTAGTCCTCACCTGCCAGTACTCTGGCTACCCACCCAGTAGTCCTCACCTGCCAGTACTCAGGCTACCCACCCAGTAGTCCTCACCTGCCAGTACTCAGGCTACCCACCCAGTAGTCCTCACCTGCCAGTACTCAGGCTACCCACCCAGTAGTCCTCACCTGCCAGTACTCGGGCTACCCACCCAGTAGTCCTCACCTGCCAGTACTAAACAACACGTGTTGACGACCCCACAAGAGGGCGTCTCTCCCACAACCTCAACAAAAGACTTCATAAACCGGAGATAAAATATAATGGAACAGTGTGAGTGAAGGTTGAGGTGAAGTGGACGCACTCCAGACGCACTCAACATGGTCCCTTCTTGTAGACCATCTTGTGAGGCACTTCAGACACACTCAACATGGTCCCTTGTTGTAGACCATCTTGTGAGACACTCCAGACACACTCAACATGGTCCCTTCTTGTAGACCATCTTGTGAGACACTCCAGACACACTCAACATAGACCCTTCTTGTAGACCATCTTGTGAGACACTCCAGACGCACTCAACATGGTCCCTTCTTGTAGACCATCTTGTGAGGCACTCCAGACACACTCAACATGGACCCTTCTTGTAGACCGTTACGTGACACACTCCAGACACACTCAACATGGTCCTTTCTTGTAGACCATCTTGTGAGACACTCCAGACACACTCAACATGGTCCCTTCTTGTAGACCATCTTGTGAGACACTCCAGACACACTCAACATGGTCCCTTCTTGTAGACCATCTTGTGAGACACTCCAGACACACTCAACATGGTCCCTTCTTGTAGACCATCTTGTGAGACACTCCAGACACACTCAACATGGTCCCTTGTTGTAGACCATCTTGTGAGACACTCCAGACACACTCAACATGGTCCCTTCTTGTAGACCATCTTGTGAGACACTCCAGACACACTCAACATGGACCCTTCTTGTAGACCATCTTGTGAGACACTCCAGACACACTCAACATGGTCCCTTCTTGTAGACCATCTTGTGAGACACTCCAGACACACTCAACATGGACCCTTCTTGTAGACCATCTTGTGAGACACTCCAGACACACTCAACATGGTCCCTTCTTGTAGACCATCTTGTGAGACACTCCAGACACACTCAACATAGACCCTTCTTGTAGACCATCTTGTGAGACACTCCAGACACACTTAACATGGACCGTCTTGTAGACCATCTTGTGAGACACTCCAGACACACTCAACATGGACCGTCTTGTAGACCATCTTGTGAGACACTCCAGACACACTCAACATGGACCGTCTTGTAGACCATCTTGTGAGACACTCCAGACACACTCAACATAGACCCTTCTTGTAGACCATCTTGTGAGACACTCCAGACACACTCAACATGGACCCTTCTTGTAGACCATCTTGTGAGACACTCCAGACACACTCAACATGGTCCCTTCTTGTAGACCATCTTGTGAGACACTCCAGACACACTCAACATGGTCCCTTGTTGTAGACCATCTTGTGAGACACTCCAGACACACTCAACATGGACCGTCTTGTAGACCACAAGAGAGAGTACCCTGTCGCCGTGATTCTGTAAACCTTCTTTAAAATGTTTATTGAAGCAATACTTTGTGTTGATACAAGTGTTGATACTTTGTGTTGATTGTCTTGGCTGCAGGATACAAGTAAGTTCAGTACAACATCTGTTTTCAACTCTTTTTACCATGTCGTCGTAACTCAGTCGATTAAGGCAGCGTCTGGGATGCTCTCAGACGTGGGTTCGAATCCTCGTCACGGCCCTTGAAGATTTGATTATTGATGCATCACGCTATTGTGATTTTCTGGAAGCTGAGAACAGGTGACCTTTCTGGGAACTGAGAACAGATGACCTTTCTTGGGAATGAGAACAGGTGGCCTTTCTGGGGACTGAGGACAGGTGACCTTTCTGGGAACTGAGAACAGATGACCTTTCTTGGGACTGAGCACAGGTGACTATTCTGGAGGCTGAGAACAGGTGACCTTTCTGGAGACTGAGAACAGGTGACCTTTCTGGAGGCTGAGCACAGGTGACCTTTCTGGAGGCTGAGAACAGGTGACCTTTCAGGAGGATGAGCACAGGTGACCTTTCTGGAGGCTGAGCACAGGTGACCTTTCTGGAGGCTGAGCACAGGCGACCTTTCTGGAGGCTGAGCACAGGCGACCTTTCTGGAGGCTGAGAACAGGCGACCTCTCTGGAGGCTGAGCACAGGTGACCTTTCTGGAGGCTGAGCACAGGCGACCTTTCTGGAGGCTGAGCACAGGCGACCTTTCTGGAGGCTGAGCACAGGTGACCTTTCTGGAGGCTGAGCACAGGTGACCTTTCTGGAGGCTGAGCACAGGCGACCTTTCTGGAGGCTGAGAACAGGCGACCTCTCTGGAGGCTGAGCACAGGTGACCTTTCTGGAGGCTGAGCACAGGCGACCTTTCTGGAGGCTGAGCACAGGCGACCTTTCTGGAGGCTGAGCACAGGCGACCTTTCTGGAGGCTGAGCACAGGTGACCTTTCTGGAGGCTGAGCACAGGTGACCTTTCTGGAGGCTGAGAACAGGTGACCTTTCTGGAGGCTGAGCACAGATGACCTTTCTGGAGGCTGAGCACAGGTGACCTTTCTGGAGGCTGAGCACAGGTGACCTTTCTGGAGGCTGAGCACAGGTGACCTTTCTGGAGGCTGAGCACAGGTGACCTTTCTGGAGGCTGAGCACAGGTGACCTTTCTGGAGGCTGAGCACAGGTGACCTTTCTGGAGGCTGAGCACAGGTGACCTTTCTGGAGGCTGAGCACAGGTGACCTTTCTGGAGGCTGAGCACAGGTGACCTTTCTGGAGGCTGAGCACAGGTGACCTTTCTGGAGGCTGAGAACAGGCGACCTTTCTGGAGGCTGAGCACAGACGACCTTTCTGGAGGCTGAGCACAGGCGACCTTTCTGGAGGCTGAGCACAGGTGACCTTTCTGGAGGCTGAGAACAGGTGACCTTTCTGGAGGCTGAGCACAGGTGACATTTCTGGGGGCTGAGGACAGGTGACCTTTCTGGAGGCTGAGCACAGGCGACCTTTCTGGGGGCTGAGGACAGGTGACCTTTCTGGGGGCTGAGGACAGGTGACCTTCCTGTAAACAGTCTACTGTAGACGGGTTGTCGCTGGATGACTGCTGCTGGTTGGCTCACTCGGGACAAGACTAGAGGTATACATTACTCACACAAATCACAATAGTCTGATGTATCAAATGAACAAATGAACGGTTTGTGTCTGTGAGGGAGGAGTTACGAGGAGAAAGCGCCAAGCCATTTCGGGTATATAGCACTACGAAAGGATCAGGATAAGGATTTGGGATGGGACGGGACGGGGGGAAGGAATGGTGTCCAACCACTGGGACGGTCGGGGATTGAACGCCGATCTGCATGATCCGTGTGAGGGCAGTAGCCCTCCCTGTTACAATTCTTTTGACCATGTAGTGGCGCAGTCGACTAAGGCGTATCTGTGATCATCCCGGACATAGGTTCGAACCCTCATCACGGCCCTTGTGGATTTGTTCATTAGCGGTATACATGTTCCATTGTGGAATATTAACCAAAACTTTTATGATACAAAACTCTCTCCCCTCCTGTCCACCCTCCCACCAGTTATCTTTACTCTTCCCCTCTCCCACGCTCTCCTTCTCCCCACGCTCTCCCTCTCCCCACGCTCTCCCTCTCCCCACGCTCTCCCTCTCCCCCACGCTCTCCCTCTCCCCCACGCTCTCCCTCTCCCCCACGCTCTCCCTCTCCCCCACGCTCTCCCTCTCCCCCACGCTCTCCCTCTCCCCCACGCTCTCCCTCTCCCCCACGCTCTCCCTCTCCCCCACGCTCTCCCTCTCCCCCACGCTCTCCCTCTCCCCCACGCTCTCCCTCTCCCCCACGCTCTCCCTCTCCCCCACGCTCTCCCAGACAAAGCACAATTTACCAGCGGGAAAAAAAATTAAAGAGCAGCCGGCCAGAGTGTAATGAGTCAGAGGTGAAGGAACATGTTATCATTCCCCCACTATGGTCCCCTAATGTTAGGGTGACCCTGCTACTGTTCCCCCACTATGGCCCCCTAATGTTAGGGTGACCCTGCTACTGTTCCCCCACTATGGCCCCCTAATGTTAGGGTGACCCTGCTACTGTTCCCCCACTATGGCCCCCTAATGTTAGGGTGACCCTGCTACTGTTCCCCCACTATGGACCCCTAATGTTAGGGTGACCCTGCTACTGTTCCCCCACTATGGCCCCCTAATGTTAGGGTGACCCTGCTACTGTTCCCCCACTATGGCCCCCTAATGTTAGGGTGACCCTGCTACTGTTCCTCCACTATGGTCCCCTAATGTTAGGGTGACCCTGCTACTGTTCCCCAACTATGGCCCCCTAATGTTAGGGTGACCCTGCTACTGTTCCTCCACTATGGCCCCTAATGTTAGGGTGACCCTGCTACTGTTCCTCCACTATGATCCCCTATTGTTAGGGTGACCCTGCTACTGTTCCTCCACTATGATCCCCTATTGTTAGGGTGACCCTGCTACTGTTCCTCCACTATGATCCCCTATTGTTAGGGTGACCCTGCTACTGTTCCTCCACTATGGTCCCCTAATGTTAGGGTGACCCTGCTACTGTTCCTCCACTATGGCCCCCTAATGTTAGGGTGACCCTGCTACTGTTCCCCCACTATGGTCCCCTAATGTTAGGGTGACCCTGCTACTGTTCCCCCACTATGGTCCCCTAATGTTAGGGTGACCCTGCTACTGTTCCCCCACTATGGTCCCCTAATGTTAGGGTGACCCTGCTACTGTTCCTCCACTATGGTCCCCTAATGTTAGGGTGACCCTGCTACTGTTCCTCCACTATGGCCCCCTAATGTTAGGGTGACCCTGCTGCTGTTCCTCCACTATGGTCCCCTAATGTTAGCACTAGTGGTAATGGGAGGGTCATGACTAGTGGTGATGGGAGGGTCAGGACTAGTGGTGATGGGAGGGTCAGGACTAGTGGTGATGGGAGGGTCAGGACTAGTGGTGATGGGAGGGTCAGGACTAGTGGTGATGGGAGGGTCAGGACTAGTGGTGATGGGAGGGTCAGGACTAGTGGTGATGGGAGGGTCAGGACTAGTCGTGATGGGAGGGGAGGGTCAGGACTAGTGGTGATGGGAGGGTCAGGACTAGTGGTGATGGGAGGGTCAGGACTAGTGGTGATGGGAGGGTCAGGACTAGTGGTGATGGGAGGGTCGGGACTAGTGGTGATGGGAGGGTCGTGGGTCCATGCTAGATACACAAGAACAGATTCATCCTGATGAAATTAATTACTAATCATGATTCACAATAATTAATGTTAAAAACTATAATTAACCCAGGTAGCGAGCCCCGACAACCCAATCAACCGAATTATACAAGTAAAAAAATATGTTATTTGTTGCACAGTTCAAAGAAAATTAATAAGTTTCGTATTTTTTTGCAAGATTAATTTGCGTTGTTGAAGTTTTGTAGGAATTGATCCAGAGTTTGTTTGTCTATTGTGGTGATGACGGCTAGTGCTGTGGTGTGTTGATCTTCCTCACACACTCTCCGTGGTGTGTTGATCTTCCTCACACACTCTCCGTGGTGTGTTGATCTTCCTCACACACTCTCCGTGGGTGTTGATCTTCCTCACACACTCTCCGTGGTGTGTTGATCTTCCTCACACACTCTCCGTGGTGTGTTGATCTTCCTCACACACTCTCCGTGGTGTGTTGATCTTCCTCACACACTCACCGTGGTGTGTTGATCTTCCTCACACACTCTCCGTGGTGTGTTGATCTTCCTCACACACTCTCCGTGGTGTGTTGATCTTCCTCACACACTCTCCGTGGTGTGTTGATCTTCCTCACACACTCACCGTGGGTGTTGATCTTCCTCACACACTCACCGTGGTGTGTTGATCTTCCTCACACACTCTCCGTGGTGTGTTGATCTTCCTCACACACTCACCGTGGTGTGTTGATCTTCCTCACACACTCACCGTGGTGTGTTGATCTTCCTCACACACTCTCCGTGGTGTGTTGATCTTCCTCACACACTCACCGTGGTGTGTTGATCTTCCTCACACACTCACCGTGGTGTGTTGATCTTCCTCACACACTCACCGTGGTGTGTTGATCTTCCTCACACACTCTCCGTGGTGTGTTGATCTTCCTCACACACTCTCCGTGGTGTGTTGATCTTCCTCACACACTCTCCGTGGTGTGTTGATCTTCCTCACACACTCTCCGTGGTGTGTTGATCTTCCTCACACACTCACCGTGGTGTGTTGATCTTCCTCACGCACTCACCGTGGGTGTTGATCTTCCTCACGCACTCACCGTGGTGTGTTGATCTTCCTCACGTGGTGTGTTGATCTTCCTCACACACTCTTCCTCCGTGGTGTGTTGATCTTCCTCACACACTCACCGTGGGTGTTGATCTTCCTCACACACTCACCGTGGTGTGTTGATCTTCCTCACACACACTCCGTGGTGTGATGATCTTCCTCACACACTCTCCGTGGTGTGTTGATCTTCCTCACACACTCACCGTGGTGTGTTGATCTTCCTCACACACTCACCGTGGTGTGTTGATCTTCCTCACACACTCACCGTGCGTGTTGATCTTCCTCACACACTCTCCGTGGTGTGTTGATCTTCCTCACACACTCTCCGTGGGTGTTGATCTTCCTCACACACTCTCCGTGGTGTGTTGATCTTCCTCACACACTCTCCGTGGGTGTTGATCTTCCTCACACACTCACCGTGGGTGTTCAGAGTACCACCATTGTCCTGCTGCAGGAGTACCACCATTGTGTGAATCATGGGTCACCACCACCTACAGCGTCACCCCTGGTGTGAATCATGGGTCACCACCTACAGCGTCACCCCTGGTGTGAATCATGGGTCACCACCTACAGCGTCACCCCTGGTGTGAATCATGGGTCACCACCTACAGCGTCACCCCTGGTGTGAATCATGGGTCACCACCACCTACAGCGTCGCCCCTGGTGTGAATCATGGGTCACCACCTACAGCGTCGCCCCTGGTGTGAATCATGGGTCACCACCTACAGCGTCGCCCCTGGTGTGAATCATGGGTCACCACCCACAGCGTCGCCCCTGGTGTGAATCATGGGTCACCACCCACAGCGTCGCCCCTGGTGTGAATCATGGGTCACCACCTACAGCGTCGCCCCTGGTGTGAATCATGGGTCACACCACCTACAGCGTCGCCCCCTGGTGTGAATCATGGGTCACCACCACCTACAGCGTCGCCCCGGTGTGAATCATGGGTCACCACCACCTACAGCGTCGCCCCCTGGTGTGAATCATGGGCCACCACCACCTACAGCGTCGCCCCTGGTGTGATTCATGGGTCATCACCTACAGCGTCGCCCCTGGTGTGAATCATGGGTCACCACCTACAGCGTCGCCCCTGGTGTGAATCATGGGTCACCACCTACAGCGTCGCCCCTGGTGTGAATCATGGGTCACCACCTACAGCGTCACCCCTGGTGTGAATCATGGGTCACCACCACCTACAGCGTCGCCCCTGGTGTGAATCATGGGTCACCACCTACAGCGTCGCCCCTGGTGTGAATCATGGGTCACCACCCACAGCGTCGCCCCTGGTGTGAATCATGGGTCACCACCCACAGCGTCGCCCCTGGTGTGAATCATGGGTCACCACCCACAGCGTCGCCCCTGGTGTGAATCATGGGTCACCACCCACAGCGTCGCCCCTGGTGTGAATCATGGGTCACCACCTACAGCGTCGCCCCTGGTGTGAATCATGGGTCACACCACCTACAGCGTCGCCCCCTGGTGTGAATCATGGGTCACCACCACCTACAGCGTCGCCCCCTGGTGTGAATCATGGGTCACCACCACCTACAGCGTCGCCCCCTGGTGTGAATCATGGGTCACCACCACCTACAGCGTCGCTCCTGGTGTGAATCATGGGTCACCACCCACAGCGTCGCCCCTGGTGTGAATCAT